AAAGCAGTACCAATATACATATCAATACTCACTAATTTACGTTTAGTTTTATACAATGAAATGAGAAAACTACATCAAGAATGGGGGTATTCATTAATTAATCATTGAAAATTATCATAGGTATAAATTCTATATTGAAAAATATTTTTAGAGAAGTCGCCCGGATTGCAAAAGGTCATGAGTTCGAGTCCCATTTCAGAGTCCCAGGGACAAAGAGGATTTTTAAGATTTTTCATTAAGAATATGATCATATAAAGTTATCTCGATATATTAAAAATATATAGTTACCCATATAAATCACTTCGTCTCTTTATTATTTTTCATATACGAATAAATCTGGGATAGATTTATTTTGCGAATATAACATTTTACTTATGTAATATTTTGAGAACAAAGATTTAAAACGGCTTCCTAATTCAATGAATATTCATTTACCATGAAAAATCTCTATGAATATAACTAGTCCAATATTTTATATTACACTAGCTATGCCCGCAAATTCATCCGCGTGGAGAGTAGCCTAATTTACTTTTTATTACATAAGCTACAAAAACAGCCATGCAGTTTCAGAGATTAGCGGGAACAAACAGGCAAAAAATGTTATTTTGGTACATGTAACGTGTATGCATGCATACATACATATACATAATATAGTAATAAGCTGTTTTTGACATAACAAAACGACACTTCAATTTTATTTATTTGTATAGATTATAATATTATAATAATATTTCTTTATTTTTCTCCACAATACCAAGAAATGTAGAATTGTATAGAATGTATCAGGGACATCAAAATTTATCGTGGAAGCTGGTGCCTGCACTTGAGTATAAAGCCCGTTTTACAGGTCACCAGGTCTCCAACATCCGGTATATAAGTGTACATTATATACACAATTGTTTAAAAATAGATGTTAAAAATTTCACGTTTCTCCTATCTATCCTGCCCATTAATGTAATGTGCTCTATTCATTTGAGTACCATTTATATTGTGTATGAATCAATACAGACACACGCACACAAATAAAAATATTAAATTATCAGTTGTTGTTGCTGACCTGACTATTAAAGTCTTTTCAAGAATTATATTTTTGCAGAAAATATTTTGGGGATATGTAGCTATCTGTATAGATAGATGCCCTACATGGATAGATGAGACTTCTGGCCCATTTTCAACTGAATTCAGATTCTCTTTGTTCTTTCAAAGTTTCAAAGAATAAAATAAAGTTATTGTATAAAAGAAATATCTAACGATCTTGATATTTATGTGCAGCCAGGGTGCCTCTTGGGGCACCTAGAAAAATTATTATAATAAATTAAATAAATATCTACTACTAACTACTTTTTAATTTGAATAGGCGCCCTTTTATTTATGAAGTGCAATGCATTAAGTCGCAACCAAATGGTATAATTAGCCATCCATTTGGGTGGCTAGCCCTTCAATTAAATTGATGGCGCCATTCAATTAAAGGGCTAGCCGCCCAATTGGTTGGCTGTTTATACCATTTGGCTGCGACATATATATTGTAGGTGGTGCCTTCTTATTTCAACTATTAATTTTAATTGCAAGTTTGGGGATTTTTTTAAAACAAGGCATCTATCCTGGTCCCTTAAGGGAAAATTGATATATATGTAAGAAATTGGATAAGTCACTTTGTAGTCAAGACCTATCGTAGACTTTTTCACTTTTACAATAATCGTATAGGTTTGCGAGTAGTTAATTAAAATAAAATTTTGACGCGGAGTGCGCCACCCACAGCCGCCATTTTTTGTCTTTACCCTCCTTACTGATCGATGATTTCTTTATCAACCACTTAAATAGCCCACAGTAATCTTTTGCAACCCGCATGCTAGTCCTATGACTGATGACAACGTGTCTTTATATCATAATAAATAATGAAAATGTTACTAATATTCAACGCCAAGAAACGACATGAAATTATTTTGATAGCTTTCAAAATTTGTTGAAATACGCTGCAACATAACCGTAAGTTTTCTTTAAAATAAATGAAACATTAAAAAAATTACCAATACATTATAAAAAGTAAAACTTTAACTTTTATAAGCTCACTTTATATTCGCAAAAGTATTAGTATCTCATATCATAAATCTAAAAGTATAGTTACAAGCTGAATGAAAGTAATAAAAAGTTGCTTGAACTTTGATATAAAACTTAAGTGTTTGATGTTTCGCCCGTCTACTAAAACTCCCAACAAACAGATACCTATATCTTCCATTATGTAGCAGATATCATTCTCACATATAAATTCAGGATTCCCAAAATTATATTATTTAAGCGAGGATTAAATAAGTCGCTTTTTGCAAATCAGTCTTTTATAACATAAGAGTATATTTAAAAGCTATGTATAATAAAAATAGGGTGTTTTTATGGATTTTAATTAATAAATATGAGAAAATGACAAACAGCATTTGTAAAGACACTAAAATGGCATTTATAAACTATAAACCAAATAGTGTCGTAAAAAAATAAGTTAATTTAACAACTATTGTTCTGTTGTTCACTGTAAGTTTTCTATGCAGCAATTAAAACTTTTTACTCCCTATATAACCAAACAACTCAAACTACATAAAATTGTTAAATCTTCAGATGTATCATGCTTACTCATGTAGATGTCACAGCCAAGTGGTATTATCAGCCGACCGATTGGGTGGCTAGTTTCTTTATTTAAATGGCGTCATTTAACTAACGGGCTGACCTTCGATCAACTGAGTAGCAGATTGCGACGTTTTACAATACGGCTGAACAAAGTTCAGCCAACTAATTAGCTGTCAATTCATCGGGAATACCAAAAAATTATTGCTAGGATTAGAAGTAAAACAAAATATATATTGTTGTGGATGATAGTCTTATGTAGTTCGTGAACGAACTGGTTCCCACAGACGAACTACGCCAACTAGTTCCCACATTTCCCGTTGTGTAGTTCGTCACAGAAGGTGAAGTCGAACGAACTATTATAGTCACGTTAAAAGTATAAAATATAATTCACTGCCTAAACAATAAACTTATTTATTATCATTTAAAAAATATATATTTTATTAATTTTAGTTTTATGTCAGACTACTACTGACTAAACACCGCCTTGGTTGCGTGCCTTAAAGGGGAAACGAACCCTCAACCGCAGAGACCGCTCCGACCACTCCAACCGACTGGGCTGAGCAGACGTCACATTTCACCTATGTGGAATGTGACATCGAGATGTTAGCCGTTAACCCTGAATGGGCTCGGCTTATTGAGTGAAAATGCATCTGACTCCCTGAAGGGGAACGATCAGTCAAATCGAATTGGGTTTGACCTAAAGGGGTATGGAGGGCGCGGAGGGGAGCTATAACGTACCATCAGAAGGGTGCTATGTGATGCCCTTAAAAATTACCCGCCACCCTGAGGGGGTAGCGGTGGGGGACGCCAGAGAGGTGGGGGGTGATAGAAGCGGGATCTGCCTGCTGGGCCTCCAGAAGAAGGTCCGGGTCGGCGAAAAGTTTGGATGGGAGATAGATGACAACCGATTTGGACCTGCTGACGAGAGATGAGGAGGCGGATAGCACATATGCGTCAGAACGTATAAGGAAGTTGGAGTGGTCCTCTGGCGCTTTGAAGAAGCGTTCTGCGGCCTCGAACTTCCCACTATTCAACAGTGCACCACTGTTCGACGTCCCTATGTAGTTTTGCGTTGCGGATATAGAATGGGACGTTTTGCGGCTCTTAGTAAGTTTATTATGATTTTGAAGTTAGGTGCTACAATAGTTGATAACAACATGAAATGATATATCACGAAGTTATTTTGACCCTGTAAGTCACATGATAGGTTAGAAGCTTATTTTTTAGCAGATGACAAAACTAAATTAACGTTTTAGCGGTTATTAAATCAGCTGACTTCTTGAACGGTCCAAATGTCATAATGATTCAACTAGAAAAATAGGCGTGCAATTGAATGGCGCCATTAAATTAAATGGCTAACCACCCAATTGAACCGCTGTTTTAAACAGTTGACAGCGACATGGACAAAATATCTACTACCTTTATAGTTTAAAATGATATGGGTATCGAAAAGAATTAACAATCAAAAAAGACAGACTGGCAGTCAAAAATTTTCCCTACAAATGAAAGGAGAAAAATGTCGGAAAATAAAATCAACGATAATAAAATGAAAGCTTGTTCTATTTCTATGAAAACGACTTCAAGAAATGCATTTTAGATAATTAATTATGAAGCAACAGAGATGGGACCTGACACTACGTCTGATGCACAGATATTCTTCACAAATCAATGATGTGTTACAAAGTTTAGATGGGTATCAGCGCATAATATTGACAACAAGAAAGAAAGGCAATTGCCTGAGTTTCACTTAAGTCACCGCTCAGTAAGCATTATGGCTAATGTTATTTTTCAATAGTAATTTTCTGAGAAAAGTTGTAAGAAAATACCTTCCTTCATGTTTAAACAATGCACAAATTACACATTGTCAATAAGAAAAGCAAAAAATATATAATTTTATGCGTAAATTTTAATAAAACGTCATTGAACGCAGCCATTTTTTCGTGCATCGTGTTCTACGCAAATATAAATATATCTCGCTCTCACAAGAGGCATAGGTACTCTATGATTTTAATAAGTAGATAACTACTTTTGGTTTCTTCGCGCCCTTTGTTTGTGTATTATAATATAACGTTACCACGACAGAGTTTACGCCGTTTTAAAACGCAATAATGTACGGGTATAACGCTTCTAATAATAAAATGTCATGAATATGATTTTCGAATCGAATCAACGTTCAAATACTAGGCTCTCAGGTGTCATATTAATTCGTAGGGGTTATTCTTACTATAATCGTTTTACAGAGAGAATCTCAAGAAAAACACTGATGAGTTAGTCGGCGCACGTGTACAGTTCGATCGCCCTACGATTACTATACGACTGATATTCGACCTTTATACAACAACAGATACGATCCCAAATTGGATATTTAGTTCCGTGAACAAGTTATGTGCTACATATTCAATTGCTTCGGATGGACACTTGACCTTATACAAAGGTAAGCAAATATGTATTTTAAGGTAAAATACACTTGCAGTGTAAACTTAAGTACAGTCCTGTCAAATAACTGCGTATGAATAACGAGTAATGTGAAAACAGACCCTTAATCAAAGTTAGTGTTTATTTTTGTTTACTTTAGAGAATTATTAATAGCGATGGGGAGTGTATAATTTTTGGGTCTTTATTTAATTAAAAATTTGTTATTAATATATTATGACAGCAAAATACCAATGAACGATGACAAAAAAAAACATTTTAAAAGAAAGTAAAAAAAAAACACATTTAACTTTTAAAAAATATTTTGCCCTGTGACGGCTATCAATATATTAACTGAAAGAAAAAGGTTGTCTATACAGTACTGTGAAAAAATATAGACTCAAATCATTTTTTTAATATTTTTAAGATTTAACTAAAATAAATTTACCTCAAACATGCTCAACTAATACTAAACATACCTACATGCGTGGTAAGTATACTATGGTTTCTTTCTGCGTGACATTGACGTAACGCAACGCTCGTAATTAAAACATCCACCTGCACTGTACGTAATTATAAACTCAGTCACATTTAAAATATGTTAGGATAAGGTACTTGCATCTTTTATTTATTATATAGAAGTTTATACTCACGACTCAGTATTTTTGTGGGGATTATATTTTAATTACCTTGGATAATGTGTTGCCTTGTAAACAGTTAAGTGATATAGGAAAACAAAGAATTATCGATTTGAGAAGTTGTGGTACAACTCAAAGTGAAATAGAAAATATTATGAGTAGATAACAGAATGTGGTAAAAAACTTTTTGAACCTAGGAATTGAAAATTATGGCAAAATAAACGATCTGCCCGACCTTCTTAGTTTTCTTCTACTGTGAAACGCGCCGTTCTGAGGGAATTATGAACACTAGAGCATCGTCATCGGCGTTAGTACGCAGATAAAGCTTAGATTGTGATCAGAGTCTTATTAGAAAGTGGACAAAAGCATCCGGATATTTTAAATATCGAAAATATCTTAAAAAACCTGTTTTATAAGAGCATCATATTGCAGACCGACTTAAATTCGCAGAAAAATATATTACAAAAGGGAAGACTTTTCACGTGATTTTTTGTGATGAAAAAAATAATTAATTGTGATGGTCCTGACGGTCCTGACAGTGATGATGGGCGGTTTTCAATATCATTGGCATGATTTAAGACACGATACAAAGATAATGTCACATCGACCACATGGTGGTGTATCAATAATTGTATGAGGCGGAATTACTGGCCATCTAAAGACGGAATTGGTGTCTTGTAGAGGTTGAATGAACGCTGTTAAGTATCAAGATCTGCGATATGATTACTAGCCTTCGTAACCTTGATTGAAGACAAAAACAATATTGTTTAAAAGGATAATACTCCGATACAAGTTTCTGAAAGTACAAAGAAGTGGATGCATGACTTTGGAATATCGATATAACATGGCCAGCGTGTAGTCCGGACTTAAACCTCTTGGAGAATGTATGGGGGATTCTAGCCAAGCCTCCTATAATAACAACTCAAACGGAGACTGCAATCTTCTTGGTCTGAAATTTCACCCACTGTAATTAAAGAATTAATTGTTAGCGTACCTAACAGGTAAGTAGATGTTATTAAAAATAAGGGTAAATGCACAAAATATTAGCTAAATATAGCATACATTATGCACGTTGAGTTTATAATTTTTCACAACGAACATCCATGGAAAAATTTTATTTTTAGTTTTTCTCTTCATTATGCTCAAATACCAAGAGTCTCTATTAACGTAAAGAGAGTAATTATTTAGTAAAATTTATTGAATAAAAAAAATATTAAACAATTGTTATTTATTTTAAAATAAAACTTATAAATTTGTTTGAGTCTACATTTTTTCACAGCACTGTATGTGCAATGCAATCATTTTATAAAAACACCCTAGAACTCAACGGCGAGCGCAGTGCATGGAGGTAACCAAATAAAGCCTATTTTAAAAAGTAGAGAAGGTTTTATTTGAAGTTCTATGCTGTCACAGCGCTGCGCCCTACGACAAGTTCGAGTCTGACTATTATCAATAACATAGCTATCAGAATAACATAGCTGGTCTGAATAGAATTTATTTTCTTGTTTCTAGCTGACTGTAGTAACATTGAAAGTATTCACTTCTAAATCAGATAAGATATATCGAACAAACTTAAATCACTTTCATTGAAGTTTTCTCACGTGATTCCTTTCGCAATGCTATTTAGAAACACGTTCGAAATCCCGTAAAAAGTGAAAAAGTAAAGTACCTAAACACAAAAGAATTTGAATGGAATCAACACGAAGGAAAAGTGTGAGTAATAAATTGTTTGATGAACGAACGTGATGGACGTGAGATGAATTTGAATTTCGAAAATCGAATAGTATTATACGAACATTCTTTTGTTCCGTGAAGTTTTCATGAAGGTAAATTTATCTTTGACGTATATTACCTTCTTTCTCTTTGTAAAATAATCCATAGATAATTCTGAAATAGTAATATAGTAATGTAGATTTTAATTTGAGCTCTAGGTGTAACAAAATAGTGTTTGTTAAATGTTAAATCTGAAATTCGGTGTTTCCTAAAACCGCAAATGAAGCTTTTAACTCAATTAGTTGACTCCTACTTTGTCATTTACATAAAAGCTAACGTGAAACGCAAACTATACCTTTTTGTCTGTTTCGAGTTACAATTAGGTTCAACAGTAACTTCAAATAGTCCACACAAAAGAATGCAACATAGTTTATCCTGTGAGCCAGCTGACTGCAATTTCTAGGAGCAAAATAATTAATTGACCCAGCCCATCCGCTCCAGACAGATAAAAATGAATTAAGTCTAGACAAGTTATCAAACACATTTTCGACAATTTCTCTTCAAAATTGATGGAAATATTTTCTATAATAGTTATTAAAATTCACATGACAGAAAGATATTGCAAAAATAATTTAAAAAAAAAAAGGTTAAGACCATTTATCTTAATTTTATTTTCATTTGATGATATCCAATAAAAAATTAAGTTATTAGCAGTTTTCCTCCGAATTCGCCTGCGTAAATTATAATCTATGTCATCCACGTATGATGTAGCTTCTCGTCGGTGAAATAATTTTCATGATCGGATCAATATTTGCGAAGGTTACCTTCAAAAAACAAACAAACTATGAAACTTTATCACTTTATAATATTAGTATTAAAAATCGTAAGCACTGAGTTATACAATTATAAATATAATTATAAAACGAAGAACAACTGTTGTTTTCGGTTAATGGTTTGAATCTTGACTTAAACCATCATCAGACCTAAATAACTCTTCTCTATTTGACGTTGTCTGTTCAGTCATTGTCAATTTACTTTAGGCGGCCGATCATTTAATTAAACCAAACACTAACTTTATTCTTTGTCTTACAATAAGACGTTAATGCCCGTTTTCACGAAACTTAGGAGTCGCCCAAAACTGTTGCCTAAATATTTTAAAATCGCCTAAGGTAACATACATTTCATTAAGGACTAGGAACTACCTAAGAACTTAAGCAATGTCTAAAGTTATGACGTGCGTTATTCGGCGCCTTGAGCTAGGTATTTGCGTATTATTAGAAGTCATAAATTTATCAAGGAATAAAAGAAAAAAATGTTATCTGGAATTAAAATTATTTGCTTAGGCGATTCGTAAGATTATGCGTTTCCTAGTTAAGATATGCCTTGTTATGGATTTTCACTAAAACCGGTGTAATTGTTTAATTAAAATTAGATATATAATTAGTGAATCTTTTAAGAATTTAGTTTAAATACTTAACAAAAACAAAGTTCTAAATACACCCAAAATTTAAGCGCTTATTAGTATTGATGTGTTTGTTCCATAGGGGAATCAAATTAATTTTATGAAAATTATCGACATCGAACTCTCTGCGAGTATATTGATGTTATTAAAAGCAATTTAAGTCTATTATAGTCCGTTAACTTTATAAATCAATTACCGAACAGTACACTCCATCTTTGGACCTTCATTGTGCAACGTAATTATGTGAAAATGAAGTGAAACTATTTTAGTGCTCCATTAAATTATATTCAAGAAAATTCCTTTCTTTAAAAATGTCATATATCGATTCCATGTATCGATTTAATATATATATAGGAGTTCTTTAAATTCTATAGTAAGAATTTTAAAGCATTTATAAAGAATGCCAATATGACACCACCGACCCAATCAAATCATTTATTCAGCGTTTCAAGCAGTTGTGAAAGTGCACACTCTATACCAACGGTTCTCAAATCTACGACGGGAGACCTTGTTCCGTGAAAAACCGGCAAGAAACTTTACCCTAGGGTGTGAACCGAATTACTTTAACAATAACAAACATATTAAAGTAACAGTAAGAAAATAATGAGTTGCATAAATTGCAACGGTAAGATGACGTCATTATTTTAACTGTTAACTATAACCACCAACTATTCGATAACATACATAACCATTCGTAGCCGAGTGGTTCGCACGCCGGTTTCACGGTGTCGCCATGTCTGAGGTCCCGGGTTCGATTCCCGGTCGGGTCAATGTAGAAAATGAACTTTTCTATATTGATTCGGGTCTGGGTGTTGTGGTACCTTCGTTGTCTCAGATACTCCATAATACGGGGGCTTTAGCTACTCATCTTGGAATCTGAGCAATGTATGTGATATGGTTAAATATTTATTATTTATTTATTAACTATGTTAAAATTAGTTTAACTATGTTAAAAATAGCTATTATTTTTCGTCCAATTAAACACAAACTTAACTTTAACTGCTCTTACTGTGCTAAGATTTTTTTATCTATATTTTTTTATTTTAGAGAGCGGATGAGCTACTTAATAAATGACTTATTAAGTAGCTCATCCGCACTTACCAACTGGAATAATGGAGATTGTTAATGGACTTCTCCTTTTCCAATCGGAAAGACATAGACAAAAATCGAAACAGTTATAAAAATCGAGTCGAACTCACGCACGAAGGATACCGTACCATTTATATGGGTAGTTCTCACAAAATTCCGATATTTTCACAAATTAACTTTAGCTATATAATAATAATAATATTTATTAGACCACAATAAAACAAAATACATCGTTTTAGTTACATCTAAGTTAATAATAATACTGTACCTATTTATTTAGCATCTGCTGCTGAACTGAGTTAATACCCGTTTTTCGGCATACAGCGCCTCAAAACCTCAGATTCTTAGACTTACTACGTATATTTTAAGCAGATCGGTAACATTGAAATTTTTTGTATATAAGATATATGTAAAACTAACGGTCCTTCATATTTGTTTATAAACACGAAAATAAAAAAGAGGGAATGATTGCAAGGATGAGGGTTTTACAATATAAATTGTGGTAATAATAAATAATAATGTTTAAATAATTTAATTAGTAACACGTTAAGCATGATAGAAACATTTACATTTAATTAACACTTTAATAATATAAAAAAATAAAGTTAATCGGTAAACCTGAAATCTCTATAAATATATTAACTTGCAAAATAAATTCCCTCATACTATTTTTATTCCCTGACTTTTATGTGTGAGGTGAATGAATGTAATGGAAAGGCTGTGAGGAAATGGTGAATTCCAAAAAACCTTCAAAAAGTATCAGCATATAACCTCAAATTGCTTTGGAATTTTGGCGCTATATTTTAGGTTAAATAACGCAATCAAATATATAAAATAAATGGATAGGTAACCTGTTTTTAAAGAAGTAATGTGAGGTAATGACATTACTCATTTAACTCCCGCCAAGAAAGTACAAAAAAATGCTCCGCAAAAACAAAGGATAACAGTAGATAAAATACGATTCTCTTTCACAAATACACATAATACGAAAGAATATTAAGTTTAACACTTAAGTCATTAACATTTTTGGCAATAAAAACAAAATTAATGCTAGTTTATAAAATAAAAAAATATTTAAATTTCACAAATAAAATTTTGACATTTTGTCGCCAGTGTTGCCACTGCTATTCACTTTCAATTTTCCCTAGTAAATGGGAGCCTTTTCTTTTTATTTTACGTGGCTATCTTTATCTAATTATCTAAATATCTTTTTATAATTAATTATATAGCTCAGCTTAAGTATAGGCAACTGCGCTAATTGTGTTGATATTTTTTTTATACACGCACACAGATGCTAATGTGGTTTAATTTTTTCAATGCGTGGAATTCGTTAGTTGTCGAGATACAATTTGATGTTTTATGAACTTTGACAAATGTTTTTGTCTTTACCACTGACTTTATCAAAAACAAAGCGATATATGCGCACAGAGCCTAGTTTCGTGATAGTTTTTTTTTTCAAAGTTTTTTCAAATAAATTTTCAAAGTTACAGTATTTTACTAATTGATTTTATACATATATCTACACTACTCGTTCATTCATTCATTCATCACAATGGGTGAAATTTTCGACAGCTGGCAATACAATATTAATTACCCATTTTTCCGTTCATTCTGTCGTTCGCACATATTCTGTCTTTGTTTAATTTAAAGTTCAATCGTAGATATGAGTGAGACAAATATAATAAATCTATATCTAATATATAGTATAAATATTATTTGCAAAGCTACGTCCTGATTTCGGAAAAGTGCTACGCTTTTTGGCGCATCTGTTGTATGGGATTGCTTCTCTAGTTATTAAACTCATTGGAAAAATCCACCATATCGGTAAATGTAATTTAATGCTTTCAGAATTCAATCATTCATAATGCAGTGACGGAATGATTTTATTTTACGGTACAGCATTTATACAATATTTTTATATTTGTTGAATTAAATAATTATTTTACATAACACTAACGTTTACTTTTAAATATTGTATTATTATCTACCATTTATAAAAAAATTCATTTAATTTGAAACCTAAATGCCAAAATGACAGTTGTTTTTATTATTTTATTTTTATTTTTAGTTATTGCTCGTTTGTACAAATGGCGTGATCGTCAATACTTTCAATTTTATTAGAATGGTAACACTGACTTGTCTCTGAGTAGAAGTCAGTGAAGTTTTTTTTTAATTTGATAGTTCGTTTAACGTAAAGCCAGTTGCTGATATTTTGGCATGCATGTGTTTCCGGCCGCCGAGGAGTAAAGACATCCGCCAATATTACGCTATAAAAAGTGATAAAATAGAATAAATCCACATTGGTATACGATCATTTGGATATATAATATGACTAAGCATATTAATATTAATAAAAGAGAAGATTGACCGGTATTTATTTTTATTTTTTTTGAAGAAGGGACCTGGATATTTAATGACTTTCAGAGCAATGAATTAAGCATTTTTTTTATAGATATTAAATTATAAATTATATATTATTTATGAAAATGAGAAGTGTTGGTAGCGTTCGTTACACTAAATATCTTACATTGATAATTAATTAATGCTGTTCAGAACTACAGCCCCGGGACAAACATTATGGATTTTTCTGATAATTGCCTATATAAATAAAAATGGATCGCAAACGTGTTGTTAATCACAAAATTCAAGAACGGCTACACCGATTTGGTTAATTTCGATTTTGATCTGTTTAATGTTTAATGAAGGTTCTTATGGAGAGAAAAATCTTAAAAAATAGAGAAATAGGGCAGAACAAGCTCCGCCGGGACAGTAAACTATAAACACGCAAAAAAAATAATCACGCTTGCTGTATTAAATACCTATTTATTTTTTCCCAGTCTTAGTATTTGTTAAGATAATTAGATCATCAGTAAAAATGTCAACTGTCTAATTATATGCCGACTCAATCGCAACAGAAACCGTTTCAATGTTGTGTTAGCTATCTTCTCTACTTATCAAGACGTTGGGATTCCCTGAAGTTTCATTTTTAATTAAGCGCATAAAGTTGAAAAGGACACGAGACGAGATCAATATCCCAACCAATGACACGAATGGAGATAGAATATATTCAACAAACTTTTATGAATATATTTAAATTTGCTTATTTATGTAAACAGTTTTGGGACACTGACTTATATTGTGCGTACCTTTCAACGTTATCGATCTATATATTAAACAACATACTATCTACATTGACCGACCAGGAATGGAATTATAATAAAATAGTCACAGAGAAAATAGGCTGTAACAGACAGATGTAAACCTTCATAAAGTGAACATAAAAAGTCATTTTTTCGATCGACTTTTACGACCAGATGAATGACGTAACTGAGCCGTGCCATGATTTTCTTTCGCTCTCCAGATTATTACTACAAGAAAACTCATTACCGCACAAAACCTCACAACTAGTGTTGCCATTGCTACGACAATTGCCGTGTCTTGCGGTAATTGGACACAATTAAAAAGAAACTACTCCCTATGCCTAGATTATATTCAGTGTAATTTGCACGTGCGAAATCGCGAGAAAACAGCTACTGTTAAATAAAATGACAAATACAACATTTTTTATTTAATCTATTGACTACTTTAGTCGTACTTATATATTCCTTAGAAATAAAACAATTTTGTCCACCACACTATGCAGTACATGATATTACTCTAGCAACACTGCTCGTAACAAATTTCACCGAACGTAATACATCATCGCAGTCTAAACAACTAATGGAGGGATACTTGCCGAAAATTAGTTTCGAGTGTACCTCTATATATACAATCTTATTTAAAAGCATAACTAAAAACATGTTGACTGTAATAAATAATGATCCTTAGTTCCTTAAACAACTGGAGTGATTTGAAAAATTATTTCACCTACGGGAAGCCAATGTTCTACGCAGGTAACATAGGCTATAAATTAAGCCGGCAAAGTCGCAGGAAAACTGCTAGTAAGTTTATTCTTGATATTATTATCACAACTGTTAATAGAAACCATGTCTAACCGCCGATTTGTCTGGTACACATTCACGTATAATCCGCTCAATCAGTTTTAATAAAATATTGTATATAAATTAAAATGGACCATAGGAAAGGACATGTGTAACCTATCAGCGCAATAGAAGGAGTTTTAAGGGTTAAAATAACGGATGAAAGCTCTACATGCAAATAATTGTATTTAAATTTATATTATTGTCTTCCAGGTTCATCACATTCTTCCTAGCTTGCTGGCTTATGTACGCGGTAGGGCTTGGCCTAGCAGTGGCATTAGCAGCAGGCATAGCCTACGGATACAACTATTCAATGGCTGAATTCCTCACATTCACAAGTTAGTATTTTAATGCAAAATGCTTAAAAATCTACCCACCCTAAATCTATCTAGGCACCCCAGGTGAGACTTGAACCCAAACAAAAATCAAATATAATATTAGATTATATTCCTCTTAATCGGAATATTGTAAAAAATAAATTACTTTCGGCTGTTGATTGCTTAAACTGAACGCTTATCGAAAATATTGAAATCGTGATTTTACAATTTTTATCTTTTCACTGCCTTAAAATTACTTACTATACAATGTACAAGAATCTGATGGCGAATCTAGAAATTTAAATTTATAAAAGGCAAAAAAAGATAAAGACTACTTGTAATATTATTACTACTAATTGATTCTAATATTTAAATATAATAAAGACTTTTCAATAAATGCAACATACTCCTGACCGAATTCCGATAACAACAAATTTTGACATAGAATTTCCAACTATAAACTCTATATCGTAAGTTGAGAACGATAGTGTCACAATGCAAAAAATGCGATTTTGAGTAATGAGCGTTTAAAGTTCAACAAATTGTAATCCGCCCCTCTAAACGACGTATCGTCACTACGCCACCTAGCAGTTTCTACGCAAGCTACGTTCACAGGGATCTTTGCATTTTAAAGTTTATACTTAACAAAGAAAAATGTTTCCAAAAATAAAAAATACGTCGTTTTTGGTTAGTGACATTGTCATTCTCAACGTGCGATATTAGCAACATCTAATATTATACATAGATTAAAAACAATACTAATTGCTTTTTGGGCACTTTCACAAAATGAATTCATACTTTCACAAAAATTTACACTTTGACTTGACAGTAACAATATCCAGACAATTTATATTGTCATATGAAAATCTATATTTATTTTTATTTTGTATCATCCGATTCTGGTACACCTATACCATTACCTAAGAATATTTGCAAAAGTTTAAAATATAATTCTTCACACGTTTAAAAGTGCTCTCACATGAGTTTCAACAGCGCTTCTAAAGATTTGTTATTTTATACTCAACATGAATGTGTATTCATAAATGTAGGGGTCTATTTCGAAAACAACCTAAAATGTTGGTCCTTTTACAACACTCGAAATTTAGTATCTCTGTGTGTGTGTGTGTGTGTGTGTGTGGTGTGTGTGTGTGTGTGTGTGTGTGTGTGTGATTGCGTGTGTGGGTATGTGATTGTTTACAAATATTATTTGAATCACATTATCATATTCGAGTTTCAAAAAAACCATTCCTTGGAAATGACTTTACATTCCTAAATTAATTGCCATTACCTTCAATACTGTAGGCCAATTCTGATAACGTTTCCGTAATTATCAGTCCAATAATATTAGAATAATATTGGACGTCTTCCTCATATATCATTGGTTACGTGAACATTAGCAGAATTCTCCCTCTCCAGCTGCCAGAGATGAGAGATAGCAAAGCTCTTAGCAAAACGCGACATTTTAACTATTTTTGTTGACCTAAACACTATTTAGATCTATAAATATAATTTTTGTAAGATTAGCTTACTGACTTTGTAAAGAATCAGAAACAAAAATTGGCTCCAAATTTGCCGCCCCAAAAATCTAACGTCTTAGCCTTACATACCAGCCTAATAATTTTGCAAATGAATACATAAAGATATGATATTCAGACGATTTTATGCATTTTTTGTAGAAGAATAAATGCTGTATAAGAACAAAGCATACATTGTCCTATTGTCCTGTGTAATGTTTGAGATTAGGCCTCCGGGATTATCAGTATTTACCACGACTTGAAGTTGAACGACAACCTTAAGAGCAAAACAATAGGCGCTACAAATAAATGGATTTGGAGCTACAGACTACACTCATGTAACAATTTCGTTTTGTTTCTTATACGTGTTCTCCGGATTATTTGGGGGATCTTATGATATATTCCTTAATCACGTTAAGTAGAATTAGATTCCAATCCTACGTTATATCGATTCCTTTTTTTGTGCATACCACGAACAAAAAATAGCTTACATAACAGGCATTCAATCTGAAGAATGGGGGCTCGCTACGTCACAACTATGTAGAAAATGTACAAAAGAGAGACGTACATTTCAACCCGATGTATTCCCAAAGTTAATTGATTACACAAAAAAAAATAAAAAATACGTGTCTAATATCTGAGTTCTGTTAACTCAAATAATTATTACAAATAATAATTATAATAATATAGTCGAATAAGGAACATAACATTATTTACTACCTGGAGGTGGGCGCTAATGGTTGCACTTCAGTTTTCTTTTACAACTACTGCGACTATTATCGTACACTATACTTTTGTTAAACTATTTGTATCAATAAATACATTTTATTTTATTTATTTATTTTATCTTTAACTATCTACCCGACGGACAGACAAACAAAATCCCATGGTTAAAAATTAAATTGAATCTCAGTTCATTCAACCATATAGTGGCAATGATGTTTTGTAATTAGACACATTATACCCGTACATACATTATTGCATTTTAAAACGGCGTACACTTTATTGTGGTAACGTAACATTATAATACAACCACAAAGGGGGCGAAGAAATAAAAAACAGTTTTTTGCGTAACAAGAGGAATGCTGTATGATTTCTCCCTATTAGAATCATACAGCATTCCTCTTGTTACGCATGAAATGTTATGTTTTTTACTTTTCTCATTGTCAATGTGTAATTTTTGCATTGTTTAAACATGCAGTAAGGCATTTTTTCTACAACTTTACCTATACAACTACACAGAAAATAGCCACATCGCTTGCTGAAACATGACTTAAGTGAAACTCGGGTTTTACCTTGCTTTCTCGTTCTCGTTGTGCGCAGATAACCCATCTAAACGTTTTTATACATCATTGTTTAGTAAATGGTACAATGAGAGGTGACATTAGAACGGTGACAATTTAACGCGTGTTGAAGTGCAATCAGACACTAAACAAACTTCAAACTCTAACTCATGAGAACCTCTGGGCATAAAAGTTCGATCCATTAAAAACTACTTCAAAAGTTAATGAAGGTCTTATTTCATTACAGCTCTATGAACAAAAACCTTATTAACTTTTAGCTCTAGGCGTCGAGTTTTGGCTGTTGTTTAACTGAATAAAATAGCTAGGTCGATGGTTCTATATCCTATTAATAATTTAAGTATTCCTCCAGCGCGGTCGATGAATAATAAAACAGTTATTGATTGTTTAATAAAATACCTAATTTAGTATTTTTTTTTTATTTTATAAACAGGGTCGGATGTGTCCGTATACATGAGACGGGGTCAGTTCCTAGATAGTCCGGATGTATCAACAGAAGGAAGTTTCAGAAGATCGGCTAACAAGGAGCAAAAGGAAGAAGGTTAGGACCACCACACAGAGTCAAAAATCTATTGGGATTTTTTCTATTCTTTTCTACGGTCTATTTATAGACTACATCTACCCTGAACTGTGAGTTATAGTATAAAACATCTTAAACTCTTTCCGAAGTTATCGATAAAAAATAAAAAGGCGAACTACCTAACCTCTGTAATGAACAATCGTTTTCTTATCAGATTTTTAGTGAAGAAAAGGAACCGAACATGGAATATAATCCATAAAATGGAATATTGAATTTACTTCTAAAAAGATCTCTAATAAATGAAATATGTAATTTGTCAATAAGTCAAGAAAATTGACGATGGTTTCCGGAATCGCGATGCCTATTTCAAAGTGTACAAAAAATTATTTACAAAATAATTTCAATATAAATATTTAATTTCAAGTAAATCTGCCGTTTCGGAATACGCAAAGAAAAATTGCGCCCGAAAACGTTCTTTAGTGGTTTATTTAAAAGCTAGTGAATTTTCTATTATAAAACCGTCCAAAGGACAGCAATCGGATGTTTACTTTACGAGATATTAAGCTACAAAAGCCTTTTAATCTTAAACTTACAATATTGCAAAACAAAAATAACCATACATGCTCTTCTGTTTCTGAATCCCCCTTGAGACTCCCACAAAATTCCATCAGATTTACACTCATTTTTCATTCAAAGATTTCTAGCACACTTTAGCGGCAAAACCGAGTAAACTAATTGGTCCGATAGTCGGTGCAGTCCATACGTGAGTATTTCTTTGTACAAGGGAACAAAGAGTCCTCAACTCCAGTGCATCGGTATCCTCCTTGCCTCCCAGCAAAAATGTCATAAAATCCAAAAAACATTTTTTATTTAAACAGCAAACGCACTGCTTCTCCTTATTTAAGACTTCTAATCGCCTATTTTGTTTATTCCATAATAATGTCAATGTTAATCTATACACTATGAAAAAACCTGCCTTGATGCTCTCCCGTGAATCCTGGCAAGTCTTTTCATCCACTACTCAATCTATAGAGTTCTCGAAAGTTTTTTCTCCCACTACTTAGTACAAGTATAAATCCACCAATTAAGACACATCCTGTTGCTTAAAGATGGATTTATATATTCTTTATCACCGGTCACCCAATTTTAATGAAATAAAATATTCACCCTATTCCGTTTAAGGTTAAAGTATACCTTTGTTACTTTCCGCTATCAAAATTACCAAGCAATTATTCATAATTTTCATACTTATCTAATACGCCATAAAATTCTCTTTAATACTTTTTAAGATAGACAAGCAATATCAATAGTATTCAGCTTGTTAAAAATATTACAGTGCCAGTTAATAGTGGTATCGATTATGCTGAACTTAGAGAGGGCAGTGTTGATAAAAAACCTGTCCCGCTTGCCGACTCTTGGCAGAAAGCTTATGACACTAGGCAATATGCTGAAAGGCTTGTCAAGTACGAGCAAAAGTCTTCACAAGCCATAGCAATAAGCAATCAAGATGTGCAAGCTGATGTAAGTAAAATAAAAATATACATAACTAAAAGAGAAATCTACATTTGTAAGAGCTCGACGGTGCAACGGCCGTTCATAGAATGGGTGACCATTTACTATCTCGAACTCCTCCATGCTTTGAAAGGCACGTTAAGCCGTTGCTACCGGCTGCATCAGCTGTCTTTAATACCCACCAAACCGTACTGCGCCCGCGTAGTAGATAATGGCCTATTCACCCTATTTGATTCGATTTCATTCATAAGAAAAGCTTAACCTAACCCCAGCAGGGGAAATTAATAACCTGGTGACGATGATGATGATGATGATGAAGATATTGATGATGATGTATCATCATCATCAGCCTATTAATGTCATGAGGAAACAGACCTTCCCTAAGGATAAAATGTGATATATTTTTTGATTACTCATCCTATGACTGACCTTTGTAGAAGTTCCATTATTGATTCTATAACAAATGTTAGCTTTTATTCCACAGGAACTCACAGAACAACCAGTGCCACCCACAACCGTGACACTTGAAGAAATGCCACATATAAAATTGACTCAACCGTCTATAAGCTACAAACACTCCACTCCGTCATCTCCACCTCAAACATACACAAGTACTAACATTCTGATATCGATGACACCAAACATACTAATATCCACGGCATTCTACCAAAGTGGCAACTCACAAATAGTCATGCGGAATTTCGAGCCAATTAAAGAAATTATCGAAACAACCACCACAACTCCAGAAACTCCAGAGAATATGAACAATGACAATTTAGGAAATATGGAACTAGTCGAATACCCTATTAATTACAAGCCATCTAATTTGAAAAACATAGATTCTGTAACTAAATATGTGCTTGAAGCGAAACCTACTAAGACACGTCCGATTGCCGAATATAATGACACATTTGAGGGCTTCAAAAGGTACGTATTATGCTCTAAAGACAATTCGGGTGTAGACGATTTATTTAAATATTTTTATTCTATAGATATTATTAAAATATATATATATATATATATCATATATTCATTTAAAGCAGCTCTGTGGTATAGTGGAAAAGCGAATTTAAATAATATTATAAATAAAAATAAGCATGGTCGGTAATAGTATATTAAATTATTTTGTATACTGTCACGTCCGTATTTTAATTTTTCGGGTAACTACGCGTCTACTTTCCAGCATCGATTTCAATATTAGTAGTTTTTATCAACAGAGAATGACTTAATCTATTTGTACCCATGTCTTTATAGTTCTACAACAGTCACTGCTATACCAATGAGGCGTTGGGAAGCAGGTACTCCAGTCCAAGGCTCGGATTACCCAATCGAAGAATTTTACCAAACTTAAACTAGACTTCAGTGTCTAAACTGGAAATAAAGTTAGGGATCTATTCTAATGTTTTTTTTTTTACCTTCCCCACAGTTTTTTTATCGTGCTATTTAAGGAGCTTGATAGCGTAATAGCAAGGGTATTCATTCTGCAATGCAGAGTAAGTAACTCTAGCAAGGGACGTCAATAATATGGTTGTAGATTTTTCTGCTATATCTAGCTCCTTCGTGGTTCGTATGTTAAGCAACGTTAGCCCATTGTTCTCAAATAAAGTCCAATATTATTAGTGCTATGTCTTCCTCATGCAGCAATGGTTACAGATACCTATATTAATAAAATTGGATTTCAGGTCTACCTGAAGTCATCCAGGCATTCAGTCTGACCATATAATACAATAATGTACTATATTAATCAGATTATCAGTATGTTAATACTTGAAACAAAAACAACACTTTGTACTATGAAAATTACTGGTTTTTATTTAGGTAATTTTTGCTTTAAATTTGTACCGCCAATTAAATTTTATCACCGATTTATCCACTTCTGCCCAAAGAACCAAACATTCTTTCCACGACTTCACCATTTTCATTTTCAGTAATCAAAGGCTTGTTCTCATCTTCTCCATCATCTGAAATCGTAATTGTAACATTGTATACTTGAATTTGTCAAGAACCACTTCTTCACCATGGAATTGTATAAACAATTATAATATAATAGTTTAATTGTCGTATGCAAATTGATTTCGCACTATACGTCTTTAATAGGGCGTTATATTGCAAAAGTCCACTGTTATAGCTGCGAAACTATAATAAAAGCAACTTCCTCAACTAGTATCTGCAAAACCTGTTGTACATCGTCCGCACACAAATTCACATGTACAATCGGCAACAAATCTCGCAACAATCACAACTCGTTTCGCCTTCCGCGAAGCATTTTCATATTATTAAACGTTACATTACCAACCTTCAGATCTTGCAGAAACTGGGTGTGGATATTGATAGAGAGAGAAAGGGATATTTTAGGTTCACAGTTTTAGCACTGCGAGTAGATAAATCGTCATCACAGTGTGAGAGTTCAATATATGAGGTTGTTGGATGGCTACATTTGCTTTTAAGCTATTCTTAAGCTAATCACAACTCTTGATTAACCTCTCAGATTTAATTTTAGTTGTAAATATTAACCTACCTGGTATATATCAGTTACGTTCTCACGCCTAACCCACTAAACAGTTTACTTGAGATACGACATAAGTTGCTATTATTGTGATAGATTATACGGAAGTTCGTCATTGTCAAAAATAAAATCATGTAACCATATTTCAGGTATTTTACACGATATAATTAATAAATATTCGTTTTAGAAATGTTGCTCAAAGTAACCATACCACACGGATGAAGTGGCGGGCAAGAGCTAGTTATACTATACATACTAAATTATCTGATGAAAACAATTTCAATCTAAAATTTAATTTTCGATTCATTGAAACGTCTATGTAACAGATATTTCCTCACCTGAATTTATTGAGACTTCAGGTTGCACATCATTTTCGTCTCCTGCTTCGATACCAGGATCGCTATTAATAATCTCAGTTTCTCTTTCGTATTCTTGTGAATGTTGTTTAATCTCAGTTTCTTTTTCGTACTCTTGTGAATCTAAATTTTCGTACTGGTCAGGTTGAGTTTCTTTAAATTCATATGGACTTTCTGTGTACTCTATAGCTTCTTTGTATTGCGTAGACAAATGTTGAATTATAAGTTCAGGTAACTGGTTGAATAAGACGCCAGTAATAAAAGAGTATGTATCCAATGTTGGAAATGTTGGTCCGTTAATTTCCAGATTTCTGAAATTTTATTGAAGTAACAATGTTTAGCTCGAATATCATAATTGAAATCAAATCACATTGTACAGCATTATTAGGAATTTCATACCTCCAACCGTCCATTTTAAAGCGCTCTTTATCTTCCAGTTCTTGAACATTTCCATCCGTATTAAGTTGATTTGTTACTTTACATATTATATCTTGGACTTCACTTGAAAACGAGAAATCATGTTCTGTACCGTGCATACGAATGGAACCTGAACCACGTATCTAAATGTAATATTAGATATGTAATTATATGAAACGTTGAATACTATTATAAATAAATAAAGAGATAATTATAAAATATACCTGCAATCCACTGAATCGTAAATCTTCATAAATTTTGAAAGTATCAGTCTGAACTGGGCCACCAGAATGTCCTGCGTAAGCTGAATCTAAACCACTTATTGCCATATTAGTCAGAGAAATTAAATTTGACTCGATATTTCCATCCGTCTGGAAAAAATAGTTATTTTCTTACTTAATTTAGGTAATATTTTTAATCTTTTGAAATAATATCAGGCATTATATTAGTTCAGTTTCGAATGCTATAGTTATTTTAAATTTGCTGTTCTCCTGTGACTTCTCCTTAAAAATTATAATTTACGCGGATGCATTTGATGTAGCTTCTGTTGTAGATTTAGTAGTGGGTGAAAGAATTTTTAGAATTGATCCAGTAGCTTTAGAGCCTATTCAATGCAAAGAAACAAACAATTAGATCTTATCTCTTTATAATATTAGTATAGAAAACATTTAGGACCAACAACTAGAGACTAACAGCAAGCTGCCCAACCAATCACAGTTTTTTTCATTGCTAGACGCTGTGATTGGGCATTTTAAAGGTAATTAGGACGTCATGTCACCCTCACCGTAACAAGAAAAGTAGCATACCCAAAAATATACATACCATTTCATCCCAAAATATTTCATATTTATTCCATATATGTGATGCCAAATTTTTCTCGGCAGTTACTTTATTTAAGTTTACAATAACTTTGGTACCGTAATCGTTAACTTCCTTAAAAAAATTCCTTTGTAGCTGCCTATGAAAACAAACTATTGATATAAGATATATAAGTAATTTCTTCCTAAATTATCTCAATTAGAAGACTGATCACTGAGATAACAAAATGTCGTTGGTTATTTAAAGATTCTACCAGAAGCTAAATTCCTGTAATGAGTTTTTTTTTATCAATAAATTCAAACTTCGAGATATTTTGTCTTTAGAAGTAACCTGGGGAGAAGTTGTAATATATCTATAGTTTAAGTTATAGAAACATTACTAAATATCTAGACCTTACCGAACTTCCGGTAATAAATTCCCTAAAGCAATTGTTGTGTTCACACAGCTATGGACCGCTGCTTGGAGTTTTGGCATCAATTCACCACGCAACGTCTTAATCAGAAGCTGTTCTAACTGCAATTCTTAAAACAAACTTTATTAACTTTACTTCGTTAAGTGTTATTAACCAGATTTAAAATTAACAAGTAGCTATTTTTGGTATGCACTAGCTACTAGTAAGATCTATGTCTAACCGGTTTTCAACCTAAACAGTTTAAAAATAGAGTTTCAAATTGTTTGCAGATTTTCGAGGTTTTGTTATAGCCTGAAATACTATTTGACGTAGATGTATCGTAAACCATTTCACTACAGGATAACTATGACTAGGATCAGAACGCATCAATTACGTAGAAATATCACACCCAAGCTCTGCTAAGACATTTAAGGGTAATCATGTTTCATGAGCCAAATAATTCAAATAATTTTAAAAAGTAAAAAATATTTTCTATCAATTCTGTGAGCGTGACATTTGGAAACATTTGTAAAACAATAAATTAACAAGACATAACCATTGTTACTTTTCAAACTAATAAGCGATAAGCAATAATAATTTAATGACATTAAATTTAGTAACAACAAATACATTTTAGCAAAGAACTAGGCAGATTCACGTGTTATAAATGATAATAACGTATTATAAAAATTTACCTTGTTCCTTTGAAAAATAAGGAACTATCAGAGGAGGAGAACCTAGGCCAGGATTTGATATCTAAAAAGTCAAAGAAATTATTATAATCAATTCATTGAATTCATAATACTTATAGCAATATTTTGTTCACAAAGATATTTTTGGACCCAGGGTGCGATCGCCCTTTCTAGCCATAGATTAACAAGATTATGACATCTTAGCGACACTACGACGATATTTCGTTTAATTTTACTTACTTATTTTAATGGTACGCTGCCGTCAAATCCACAATCATAAATCTTTATTATTCATTCGTTATTATTAAAGTACATGTCAAAGTAGTAAAATCAAATGAAATATCGCCTTAACATCGATAAGATATCGTATCCTATGGCTAAAGAATCGGGCGGTCGTACCCCTAATACAATCGAGAAATCTTCACCTCTAGACTAAACTTGCAATTGTCGAGCTCAAAATTATCATATCCCAAGTTGACCGAGAAGCCTTGTAACGTCGCTACGGTATCTCCATGCAGAACGCAGTGTTCAGCTATTATCCTGTCGAAAATTACACGATCTGATGACCTCGGCGTCTGAATGGATCAAACGCCGGTGTCAAGTTCAAACTCTGAGGTTCTGGTTGAGATTTCGGGTCGGACTAAAATGTAGAATAAATTTTCTTTGTTGTCGCACGTCTATGTTTTGGTACCTTTATTGTTTCAGATTTCTGTAATAGTCGATTTTACTTACAAACATAGTTACATACTTATATCATGTTTTAAAATATTAAAAAAACTGATCTTCAGACAAACTAGAGCTTCAAAGTAATTATATACCTTTATTAACTTTTCAAGAAGGTTTTATTTAATTGACCATCTACGCTCTGGCAGTGTTGCGTTCCTACAGCCTCCTGGAGGCCGTAAGCACAGATTTATATTATCATCCATCACCAGCCTATATATATCCCCACTGCTGGAGCATTGGCCTTCCCTATGGATGGAATCGAATCGAATAGGCAGAATGGACTATGACCCACGCGGGCCCAGTGCCGATTCGTGGGTATTCACGACTGCAGATGTAGCAGGGACCAACGGCTTAACGTGCCTTCTGAAGCAAGGAGGAGTTCGAGGTAAATTTTTGGTCACCCGTCCTATGACCGCTCATTCCGAAAGTTGCTTAACTTACCGC